GACTGAAAGGTCCAGCGGGTGAGTCCTGAGTTCAGACTCCACGAGTGTGGAGTTTGATTCTGGATGTGATGTGCTAGCAGCAGGAAATCTAGAAAAGCACAGCCGAGTTCTTTTGCGAGAACCAAAATACCCGGAGAAAGTAAATACTCACAGAGAGTTCTGGAAAGATCTTTGAAAAGTAGTTTGTCGCTATGGCCAGGTAGATGAATTAGTGCTAAAATCCCATAAAGGAAGATAAAATGTAAGGAAAACAGATTTTTGGATGAGTGTCCAGAATAACTGGAATAGAGGATTCCAATGACAGTTTTGTACATTTCTGTATAAGCAACCAGTTGGCAAGACAATAATCCAAAACTTAAAGAAATATGAGGTAGCAATATGATTGAATGATGTCAACAACAGTTGTTTATAACAGGTCCACAGCATGATGACCACAGCATGAGGTACTGCCTGTGCAAGCCTCGTGACCTAAGTTCAAGTCCCGGAACCCCCAGTAAAGGAGAAAACTGACCTATGAAAGCTGCCCTGACACCCCTGCCTGTACCTTGCCCACATGGGAGCTTTCTTACATGCTCACCACATTCGACACACAATAACAAATAGACTTGAAAATTAAAAGTTATAATAAATAATCTGTAACAATATCTTGAGGACAGCGCTGTCAAGATGGGTCAAAGAATTTCCAATAATTGTGCAGGGGTATTTATCTGATTTACAAAATTAACACATTTTACAAGTATGAACCTAGCATGCAAGTAGACACAGTGTCCACAGAAATGGACAAGTCACAGATGACAGAATGAACACCTGGAAATCTTCACCCCACAGTAACTGTAACCTTGGAAAGCCCTCTATTGTTCTTGTAACTGCTATGGGAAGTGGCATTTTGTGATATTTAGTCTTCTTTCCTGTTTCTTCCTTTAATTGGATCTTCTGGAATGCTAAGCCCTTTGGGTTCTCATTCTCTTATCATCTTAGTTCAAACCACTAGCATCTCGTCAGAAATCCTGTCACATGAATGTGCTTCTGCATCCCGCCTCCCGCACTTCTCCCACCCCGTCTGTTTTCTACCCAGCAGCTATGATGGTGTGTCGGAATGTGGCACTGCTATGGTTAAAGCTCTCTGGTGTCTCCCATGGCAACAAGAAAAACACATAACCCTAACGTAGTCTAGGGGAACCTGGCATGGGCATCGTTCACTGCTCTGACCACATTCTCTATATGCATTCAGCTTGCTTGTTCCATAAGGCAGGTACAGGCTGTGGTCCAGCATCAGTCCTGTACACACGCCTCTAGGCTTGTCATTTCCCACCTCTAAGGATGCTCTCAGTCTCTCACCTCATTCAAGTGTTTCCTCCACTGTCATTCTATGTCCAGACCAGTTTCTGATCATCTCTTCTATACTATGACCTCTGTCTAAATTCTCCTTCCTAGTCTCCTTTACCATGTGATATTGAGCCTATTTTTCCTCTCCTTCCTGTAAGGGCATGTGTTGCATGAGCAGACAGAAAGTGAATGCTGCAGTCTAGTGTCACATGCTCACTGTGTGCCTGGATGCTCTCTCTTTTCCATAGTGCCTCAGTGCATAGGCATCCTTCACAGTGTCTAGACCAGTATCTGGCATAATGCGGAACATCACTAAAAGAGACTTATTAAATCCAGGCTTATAGTTTTCTCCATAGGGTTGTAAATCATCATTATATAGATATAGATATGATTCTTTATTTGGAAAATAAATTAAACTTTTTTTATTTTTCATGCTTCTTCATATGTATTCCTGTGGTTTTTGTTAAAGAGATAGAAAACAATTTTAAACTAAACTATCACTTCTAATCTGTACTTAGTTAAACTCTTATTTCATACTGTTTTTCGAAGCACCAGTCACTGTAAGTGCTCCATTTAGATAAGACAACATGTTTTAAATGTAAAATTTTACAAATGAGAGTCACATATTTTGCCATTTGTCACTCAGAACAAAGATGAATTTCAGGATCTGTCATGTAAACGATCTATGAAAAATGACTCAACTCAGCGCAAAGACAGAGGTTTGGGAGTTTGTCCTGTGGCAAACAGAAGAAAAACAAGCAATGCCCATTCAGACTCTCCTGCAGCAAAGGCTCTGGAGCCATCACAGCTCAGGCCCTCTTGCTGGCAGGCCAGTTATTGATGGGGTGATTACCCTGCAAAGAGGTGTCAATTCCTTTGGGGAAGACACGGAATTCCAATGTGGAAACAGCACACCAATACTGAAGGGTCCTATGGAACAAGGTACCTGCTCCACCACAGAAGGGAGTCGCACAGAGCAGGCAGAATGTTCCGGGAGCCAAAGCAATCTCCTATTGCTTTCAAGGATCATTTCAGCTCTAACCTCTTGAACATAAATTTGTTGTTGTTCAATGAATGCTCTGCACTTGTAAAAACAAAACAAAACAGAAGTCTTTTTCTGGGGGAAAAAAGGGGGGGTTGTTTCTAATGCTTCTGCACTAGGTCAACGGAGCTGGGACCACACACATCTGGGATTTGCGGTCCTTGAGAGGACCTCTTAACTCATCAGTAGCAGGGAGTGTGGATAGATGAGAACATGCTTAGTGAGTGGAAGCTCATCTTTTATTCAGCATGTGTAGCTTAAACTTTGTTCAACTGAATAATTTCGGCTCTCCCGCAATCCAGAGTATCGACTGCTGTTTCAGAGTGTTGCAGCATGGTTCATTCTGCAAAGGCAATTACAGCGTCTCAACTTGGGGACAGACAGCCAAGTTGTTGAAAAGACAAAAGGGAGTGCTGCTTGGGTGAAACCAGACAAACAGGTGACTCTCTTTGCCAGTGTGAAAAACAAAGCAAAAGGGCAATATGGCAGTCATTAGAAACGGGAGGAAGAAGTATGATACGATCCAATGTATGTTAGTTACTGGCTAACTGTATGTGAATGATCTCGGGAAATGGAAATGAGCGAAGGGTATTGATATAGTGAGGATGACTGCTCCCGCGGCTTCCTGCTCAAAGAGCCAGGTGCCTTCAGCTTCAGTGCATGACATTTAGTTCTCACAGTCTCAGAACGCTGGCAGAGCTCAACCAGGGCATCTTCTCCAATTAACACAGAGTGAGAAACAAGGCATTAACAGTGTCTTTTTAAAGGTAGGATGTTTGTAGGGAACAGTTAATTATTGTTTTCAGGGTTCTGCAGATAAAACAATAACCTCCCTGGGGCCTGCTTTTACAGATCTCAAAGGGGGTGATCACTCTGAATGGTCTCACTGAATTGGCAGAGATGAAAGGACAGTCAGTCCTCTTGTTCTCCCCAGTGCAGGGAGCTTTATTTCCCTTGGCGATCTATGGCAAGCTGGGATCTGCCAAGCACCAGTAGGCTTATAGATTTAAGTAGACATAAAAATGACTTAACATATGGGATTCCAACTTTGCTCCTTCTAAAAAGATGTGTGTAAATATAAATAAATAATTGAGTAAAATAAATAAATAAATGAGTATATCCGTAGTTGCATGTGTAAATGTGGGCACGTGCAAATGCATACATGCACACACACACACACACACACACACACACACACTTCTTATTCTTATAAAAACAAGCAAAATAAGATGTTTCAGGAGATTTCAATAGAGAATCTCAATTATATGCAATAACTTTTTTTGTTGTGGTTGTATTTTCGAGACAGGGTTTTTCTGTGGCTTTAGAGCCTGTACTAGAACTAGCTCTTGTAGACCAGGCTGGTCTTGAACTCACAGAGATCTGCCTGCTTCTGCCTCCCGAGTGCTGGGATTAAAGGCATGAGCCACCACCGCCTGCCTGTAATAAAATTATGTAAAACCTTTTGCTTAATGTTCACTCTCCCAGAAACTAAACTGCTCTCTATAGGCGTGGCGTGGTGGACATAAGGAGGAAACCTTACTGACGATATTGTAAATGAAATATAAGCAAACTGCGGGACAGCGTCAAGAGACTTAAATTTTTAAAAGTACACATGCAGTAAATACTTTTTATGACACGGTGCTTAGCTATTTGTACGTTTCCCCTGCTTGGCTCACACGGGTTTTTCCACAGCAATGAAGAGGTGGTCGCCAAAAGCGGCTCCACCACCTCTGCTCTGTGGCTCAAAGTGCTCATTGCCTGTCCACCTCCATATCTTTCCCTACTGAGAAGTAGCTCTGTGCACGGAATTTGACAGCGCCTGCGCTTCCTTCCACACCACACTCACGAGAACGAAACCCCATGGCATTAGCTTGCTCAATGGCTATCAGCTCGCCTATGCTGCTTGTCTTCTTCAGAGTCCGGTGAATTAGATTAGTGAGCGATATAATGATTCCTTCTGATCCCGAGAGGGTGTTACTTCTTGAAGGCCTTCCCAACCTTCACACACTCCTCTCTTGATGTTAGAATTCTGATAGGAAGCAGATGGCGTGTACTGTGGCTATTGAAAGATTTTAAAGGGACCATTTATAAAAATGTGAGTTGAAACACGGAAGGCAATAAGAAAAGAAGCAGGTATCTCTCAAGGATGCAACAGCTGTCAGACAAAAGGAGAAAACAGGTTTTCAGAACCTAAAGTGGGTGGCTGAGGTGAGAGAGAACCACCTATTAAAAAATGGAGCCTTTAGTAAAAGTGACAGAGTCCATCACAGTGACTATCGGGTAGGAGGGGGACCCAGTGCTCTTAGTGTCCCCAACTGTGATGTGATTGACTCAAAATGAGAATCCAGAAGAAAGAGAAGCCAGTAGCCTTTTCTGTAGAAAATCCCCCCCGCCGCCTCCCCCCCCCCCCCAATGAGCACTAAGGACCACAGAAGTGAAACAGAAGGTCCGGAGATGGTCCGGAGATGGACTGAGGCGTCCATCCATCTCATCCAAGACTTAGACACAGAGCTGAAGGAAAATCACCTTTCAACCCGGAGCTAACACAGTGAGTGCTCGCCATCAGCGGAACTAGAAAGCGGCTCATTTTGAACCCGAAGGCAGGACAAAGAAGACGCCGGCTCACCTGGGATAAGGTAAGAGAAATAGTTATTTTATTTTGCACAGGAACAAGCTTATACCGAACAAATTCAACCAAATAGTATCGAGTGCAGTAAAACAAGGGACTGGGGGTGACTTCCTGTTAGAAAATGTTACGCAACCATGCCTGCGCGTTAATTTTAATCATTACAATAGCTTGTTTCAGATTTCAGAGTGCACTATACAGATGCGTCAGCTTCTTGGCTTGTGGAATATAACTCGCTTGCTGCCTCAGCTTTGAATCTTTCAGTGAGGAACCTCGACGATTCAGGAAGACTCTGGGCTAGAAGACCACGTCCTGCCACCGCGGAGCTAGCGGCTTTCTCAGACCTGACAGGCTTAGGCGTCTTATCCAGGGGTCGGGATGTCTCAGTCCACACCCATTCTTCTACAAGATGAAGCCAGGCAGAGTTAAGGCAGAATTGTCATCTAGTTTCCTCAGAGAATGTCCTCAAGCTCCACAAATCTCATAATTGACATCCATCTACCCAGCCATTAACAAAGCTGCACTGGCCCGGGCGCACATCACTTTTTTTTTTCTTTTTTTGTTTTTTGGTCTTTTTAAGCGAAAGAGCATTCTTTTAAAAGATACTCCCTGGAGGCAGCAAACGCCCGTCACAGCTCCTGAAGGCACTGTGGATCCACTGAGCAGCAGACATGGCCGTTCTGGAGAAAATAGTGGAAAGGAAAGCAGAGTGTGAGTTTTCAAATCATTTCCGGAGTCCCACACTTCTCGATTAGCATGACTAGCAGGTGTATACGGGACGGTGTTATTTCTGAAGTCCTGAAAACCTCATAAGCAAACTGTTCCTAAGAGTGTTTCTTCGGATGCCATCATTGTGCTCACTGGCATGCCCTCTCTTGGTTCACACCTATTCCTTTGTTTACTCACAATCCGTGTTGTGAGAACTGAGTTAGCAAAGCAGACCCACTCCCTGACCACAGGACAGGACTCACACCTTCCTGGGAGGGGAATGCAGTATAAGAGAAATTATGGAAAGTGCTGGAAAAGTTTAGGAGAAAATGTTTGGATCCTCTTAAAACCCACGTTCTCATTCTATTCTTCGGTGCAGCAGTATGAGGAGATGAAACATTTGGGAAAGTTAGTTAGGGTATGAGGGTGGTGCCCCGTCTGCTATAATCTGAGGTCTCAGGAGGTATGCACCAGAGGATCAGGAGTTCAAGGTCAGCCTCAGCTAGTGTTCAAGGTACATAGTAAGATGAAGACCAGCCTAGGCTATATGAGATATGGAGGAAAATGGAAATATGAGCGCTCTCTCTCTCTCTCTCTCTCTCTCTCTCTCTCTCTTTCTCTCTCTCACTCTCTCCTCCCTCCCTCATTCCCTCCCTTCCTCCCTATTTGCTATCATGTGAGGATACAGTAAGAAGGGTGCCTGGGAGAACAGGAAGAATGGCTTGCCAGACTCTAGTTCTACTCACACCCTGATCTGAAACTTTGAAAATGACTTTTTCAGCCCCCAGAGCTACGAGGAATACATTTCTGCCATCTATGGTGTCCAGAGCTGAAGGTGTTCTGTTTTAGCTTCAGAAGAAATATGTTAGGTAGTGATGAGATAACGAAAGACCTCTCTCCTCAGGCTGGTGCCCAGGGTAGACCTCCTGAAGAGGTGACAGTCAAGCCGAGATCAGAGGACAGGAGCAGGAAAAGAAGGCCCCACACACGAGGAGCTGCAGAGGGCGTTGCAGTGATATATACACACCAAAATCCTGAACATCTACATTGAATAAGAAAGAACTAAAACATGATCTAAATGGGAAATTTAAGTTGGGAAAACTTAGGAAACAGTGTGAAGCTGAAATGTTCGGGCTAGGCAGGAGAGAGACAGATGTGCAAAATTACTTATTACACTAAGGTATCAAAATAGTATAACTGCTAAGAAGTAAAGCCTCTCCCTCCTTCGCTTCCTCCAAAGGTCTCTTTTTCTAGCTAAGTAATGGTATTTGCTAATTAACCTGCAATTGTCATGTTAAGTAAGGTGCAATTGCCACCTTAATCGCAGGAAGGAAAAACCCTTACACATTAGGATGGCGCACTCTGCCAGACATCTGGCCACGTGTCCTAAACATATTCCCTAATTTCACCCTCTTTCCATTGCAGTGGAATCACCATTGACCGTCGCTCTTTTCAATTCAGAAAGCAGAGAACAGAGAGGTTAAACTCCTGTTCAAAGTCACCCAGTTAATATGTGACAGAGCTGGGGTCAAAGCAGGTTAGTCTGTGTCTAATACTCGTCTCTCTTCTAGGTTTTCTGTCAGACAATGACTTTGGGTGGTAGAAAGGATAGTATGTATTAACACGACAAAAATCAAAAGTAATTTTTCAGAAGGTATTTTACTCTTCTAGCCTTTGCAGAAACATTCACATGGGGAAACTAGGCTATAATGAAGCCGAGTGACACCTGGTAAAGCCAGTCCTCATCCTCCCTCGGGTATTTGACAGACAAAGTTCTTGTTCTGGTCCCAAGACAGAGTCACCCTCTTTTGAGCCAGTAGTAACACTTACAACTGGGATATCAAGCTCAGAGGTGGAGGTTTTCTATCCATAGCCTTGTTGCTAGGTTACACATCAGTTTCTCAAACTGTGTGATTTTGAAGCAGACTGGTGGGGAATTTGTGGCAGCATCCCTCACTGTGTGCAACTGGCACAGAGCGCTGTAAGGGAAAGACATCACCATTGTTCCCATGCATGCTTCGGGAAGGACGCATTTTCCAACATTCTTCGGGCATGTTTTCTTCGTCCCCATCTGTGTGTCCTCTGCTGTAGGGAAAGTGCACTATACGCTTTACCATCAGAGCTTTTCAACTGGGAAGGCTTTAGTAGTTCATGCTTTAGAGCCCAATGAAACATGCCAAGGTCTTCCAGATTCAGCAATGGCAGAATGTATTCTATAAATTAACATCCATGCTTCCTGATCTGGACAAAATAGAAAGATAGCTGGAAGTCATGAAGAGCTGCAGGCAGACACTAGTGGGGGTCAGCCCTAAAGGAATGGGAGTTTACTCTGTAACGACCTAAGCCATTCCCTAGTCGGGCAGCTACACATGACTGTACCGCAAACAGAAGTCTGGAGAAGTCAGATGGCAATCTCACAGGAAGAGTAACCATTTGAGAAACTGCTACAGCAAGGAACCGTTAGGTAGCAGCACAATGAGTTTACCGGAGGCCTTGCTTCTTCTCTGCCGTGGTTACTGCTGAGCAGTCACCGCTGTCCCTGTGATACAACACTCAGTGTCGAGATTAAGCCTACTGTGCACAGAGCTGGCTCGGATTTTAGACTGTGTTGTCAGCTTAGGTCCTCAGACCTGGGATGGAGCAGATGGGATGACATGTGGCTGACATGCTTTGGTCATGGACATCAACAGCTCACAAGAGTAGCGACTTGGCATTGATGTTGGCCTTGGAGATTATTATAAAAACAATGACTTATGAGAGTTTACATTTAAATTATTTAAGCATTGAACGATTTCTTCTTTTATGTTAACAGCTGCGGTTTTAGATAACTGCTTATTTATTCTATTTATTTGTGGTTCAATTGTTTTCTCGTTGGCTTTTATAGGTTTCTAATCTAACAAAAATTCAAATGTGCTGGAAATATTTTCTCAGTTGTGACCTTTCATTTTGCTATTTTATTTCTCTGTATGAACTTGAATTTTTTCTTTTGAGATATATTTTTATTACTTGTAGGTCAAAAATTCATCTCTTGTCTAGAAAATTGGTAAATATTTAATCTGAGTGTTATTGTTTTGAATTGCTTTTAATAATTCTTTTTCTCTGGAATTTACTATAATATTTCAGCTCAGATTGTCATCTAGTCATTCTGATGTTCGTCAAGTTTGTTTCAGCTATCAACACAGCCCAGTCTTAGCTCACTCAAGTCTCGGTTGGGGTTACCCAGAGCAGACTGGCCTATGGTTATATGTCAGGGAATGTGTCTGGAGTATTGATTGATTTGAGAAGGCTGGGCCACTGTGGTCTGTTGTCCTCCACAACAGTGGTCAGTGCTACCTTTGGGCAAGTTGTCCTTGGTTCTACAAGAGAGACCTTACTGAACATTAGCCAGAGCTAGCTAAAAAGCTGCATTCTTCCACGGTCTCTGCCTGAGTTCCTACCCGACTTCCTCAAATGTAGACTGTACCCTGGAAGTGTAAGCAGAAATAAACCTTTTCCTCCCCAAGCTGCTTTTATAGATGTGTTTATCACAGCAGCAGAGAGCCAATGAGGGCGGCTCTTTATGGAATCTGTTTCTCCTCCACACCGATTTTCAGAGGTCTCTTGATGGAGTTGTTACAATGCTTCTTGTCTGTGGCATTTACTTTCTGTCTATCACATGCTAGAACATTCCTTTTAGGTTTCTGTTTGATGACGGTGATGTTTAGACATCCAGGGGCTTCACGCTTCTAAAACCAGCCCCAGTTATTCCACCTCCATAAGCACCTAGTGAAAGAGCCCTGCTTTCTGACCCCAAAGGGGTCTGTCCAGTGAAGATGTGCTCAAGTTAAGTGTCTTTGGTGAGCCAGTTTGTTCTGTGTTTAAAGCTCTTGACTCTGACCAGTCATACAGCTGCTTGTCTATAAGATTTAGGAAAAGATAATTTACTTCTAATTCCAAAGTTTAACCTCTAAGTAGAGGATACATCTTGGTTCTTTAGAAAATTAAATTTCACCATAACTCCAGAAGATAAAAGAAGAGGAAAGGGGAGAGAGCTCAGTGGTCAGGGTCTTTGCTTTGCAAGCGTGGGGACCTCAGTTCAAGCCCCCATCACCACATAAGAAACTGGGCTGGGCCATATGCACTTGTAACTCATGACTGCTGTGTGTGGCAGGGTAGTGACAGGAGGATGTTGGGGGCTTGCTGTCCCCAGCCTAGCTCAAGATTGGGTATAAGACCCTGTCTTGAGAGAATAAGGTGGAGTGTGGTAGACCCAGACACTCAGTGCCCTCCTTTAGCTTCTGTATATACATGGGCATGCATGCATGCTTGCACACACATGTACCTATAACACAAACACAATATTTTAAAAAGACAAAAGGACTATATTACTGCTTCCCTCAAGTATTGTCCAGATCCATATTCCTAAGGAAATAGTGCTTCCTCAGCATATAACTGGTCCATAAGCTGCCCAGCCTCTTGCCTTCACAGTTTATCTGTCTTCGTCACTGCTATAATTATGTCTTTCCTTCTGGGTATGATTGTGGTAAGGCTGGCCTACTTTATACCACAATGGCCAATATTTATTGGTTACTTAATCTGAAAATGCTAAGCAATTCATGATTGTTTTTCTGTGTGAATCTTCTCACTTAATTCTTGCAGCAACCCTCCCAATGGTTCAAGTAGTTACTGCCATAGTTTATTATTTTCATTTTTAGATGAGCTGGGACACAAAGAAACTAAGCCAAGCCCCCTGATGTCGCATCATCAACACAGCTGATGGAGTCTTTGCTTCCAGGAAGCCTGCTTTCTCAGGGTGAATTTTTGACCTCTAGGGCAGTTTTGGCCAAGAAAACATTGTGTGGTAATAAAAATATCTTCTGTATGTGCTGAGCATGTAACTTAGTTAGCAGAGGGCTTGTCAAGCCTGTATAAAGTTGGTATTTGTGCCCAAAACTACATAGGCCTGGTGTGGTGATCTGTGATAGTCATCCAGGCGGTGGGAGAGAGACAAAAGAACCACAAGTTCAAGCTCATTCTCTCTGCTATACATCGAGTTTGATAACAGATTGAGATATCAGAGATTCTGTAGCATAAATAATAAAATCCCAGAGACAGATATTGGGGTTCAAGTTGAAGATTAGAAAAGCACAGCAGTCAACCACTAGAGAGTTCTTACCTCTACCAAGGTTCAGACAAACAAAGGGGCGAGCCTATCCTCAGAGTGACTGCAGATGCAATGTCTCCTCTAAACCTCAGACTGCACTGAGCTCCTGCCGTACATTTCCTCTTTGGAGCCAGGATTAAAGGTGTGAGCTCTGTTTCGCTTTTAGCTGGATTCATTTTGACTTAGCCTAGGGTGGCCTTGAACTCACAGAGATCCATTTGCCTCTGTCTCCCCAGTGCTAGGATTAAAGATGTGGCCACCACTGCTTGTCTTCTATGGTCAAATAGTGGCTTAGGTGTGTGGCAAGCTAGTGGCTTAGCTCCGTACTCCAATATTCAGACGAGCTTTATTTGATAGATTGTAAACAAAATGTCATCATAAGATTATATTTCCAAGGAAAAATATTTTTGTCCACATATGCCATTGATAGTACAGTCAATGGCCATAGGATGCTACTGGAGAATGAAAATTTGGCTAGCAAGATCAGGAATGGAACTGTCAATTATTTAATTCACATTAAAGGTCTCACATATCTCTAGATAGACAATAAGCATCCACACACATTTCCAGGAATGACTGGCTGTGTCTAGATGTCTGAGATGAGCCCTACATCATTTTAAACCTTTAGATCATTGAGCTGATTTTTATGTAAACTCTAAGAGTATGGATAGTAAGTACAAGTAGTGTTACAGGAATGACAACTAAATGGAGCTCTGTCCCTCTGTTGGCATCTATTGACCAGAACAAACAACTTTAAACAGGGGAATAAGAGGGGAAGAGATGGAACCAGTGCTCAGAAAACAGTCAGCTTTGGAGAGTGCTTGCTCCCAATGCTCTCTCTGTCTGAAGCTTTTTCACTTGAACTTCGTTTTTAAAATAACAGAATTAAATAATAAAAATGGATATTTTGTATAAATTTGGTAAAGAATGAACATAATCTTATAATTTGCATAATCAATACTTACCAAAAATAAGAATTCAGCAACAGAACACACTTTCTGGAAGACATTCTTACCAAGCGTCCAAATGCAATACCATTTAGAAGCCATTGAACAACAGGAAAGAACCCTGAAAAGCCTGGGTGTTTCCTGCAGAATCCTGTCTGAGCTCTAGTAGATGCAACCTTTATCCTACCACCTGTTATATGTTTTTGTTGTCAATGTGCAGAACAGCAAGGAGTACAAGGACTTGTGCTGATTTACTAGTTAGGTGCCAAAAATCATCCGCCGGACCCTAGTGCTGTAATTTAGATATCTACACGGTTGAATATACTCATATCAGACACAGAGTTATATTGCATACACGTTACTTAACATATCTGAGGCTTCCTTCAAATTTGCTGATGCACTTTCAGAAAACAGTAGTAATTTTTCACTTGAGATCTTGATTGACAAATTGTATTCATTGAGAGAACTAGAAATGAGGTTTTGAAGAAGATGGAACAGATGTCTGGAAGTTTCAAGTGTTTTAGGTTTCTTTGTCCTGTTCCATCAAGTCCTTCTAGTGAGAAATTACACTAAGTGACTATGAATGAAGATGCTCTATTGATATAAAGAAGAAGGAAGATTCAAGAGCCAGAGCAGACACAGATAAGCAGTGCCGAGCAGTCTGACATCTTTATCTGGTTTTGTTATTGTTGTTAAGCCTTTAATATTGTTGGTTTTTGTTTTATTGTTAATCTCTAAATTATGGCTATGAATTACAAACTGACCTCACAAAGTTTGATGTTGTATGGATATTAATCAAGTCGCTCCCAAACCTAGTCACACTGAGTCTGTGCTGTCTACACTGTATATACATGTGGTCACTGAAGTAAGTAGCACAACACTGTTTTCCTACGAGAATAAAGTGAAAATCTTTATAATGATTTTCACCAACTGTAAGAATAAAATATAATAAGCATCAGACTCTAACTTCTTCAGTTTAGTGTAACTGACCACAAAACCAAGAGACACGCCCATTCTTGCCAGATTGATTTTCACTTTAGAGAATGCAATGTATCTACTTTGTCAATATATTTTATGAAACTCATAAAAGAACCAGATAAAAATCAATGAAATAATATTGTCTTCCATTATAGAAGGAGCAATAAAACCCGTATGGTTGGCTACATTAGGACACTGAGTTGTTGCTACTGAGCATGCTGGCAGCGATATACACAAGCTCCTTTGCCCTGCAGACCTGTCTCCAATGTGCAAGGCAGTTGTCAGTGTGGTACCAATGAAGTTGAGCGTCCACTACTGCTTGAACAACACACAGGCTGAGTCCAGCTCTCCATCACCCAGGGGACGTGCACCCCTGAGCCCTGGCACAGCTGGCAGAGTGCTCACTCGTGCACCCAAGGGCCTTACCTTACATTGGCAGAGAGTACACTCCGTGCCATGCTTTATCCAGGAAGACCCAGTGAAGCGAACCACATTCATCTCATCCAGGCAGGTTTTGGTGATGTCATTGCGGACAGTGTCGGCCTGGCAAGGGTCCGTGACACAGCGTGAACAGCACTCACTCTCTGGAAGGACGCTAAATTCACACTCTACCTCTGGGCAAGGCAGGGGCCAGCAGTCAACTTCTCCTTGCTGCGAGGAAAAGAGGCAAAGGGAATGGACGAGAGAGAAAAGAGGCAGAAAAGGAAGGACAGGGAAGTGATTTTTGTTCTTAGATCATCAAATCCTACGGCAAAATGTGAGCAGCTCCATTTTCTTTAGGACAAAGCGGACAGTGGAAGAGGCTTCTACGAAGTCCCTGCTCTTCAGATTCTCTTAATTCTCCCAGTAATTTATTTGTCAATCTTTGAAAAGGTTTGCCCCTTTTCCAAAAAATGAAATATGAACAGAATTGGACAATTTCTTTGCCAAATTATACATTTTTCAGTGTAAGGAATTTGAGTGCATCACCTCCAATAAAACAGCACAAAATAAGACAACACAAAATTTGATTTCCCTCTCTTATTTCACAAGGGAAACTCTATGAATTGGAACTTAAGCAGTTTCCACCTGTTGGCTATTTTCTTCTTGGTTTTAAATCTCAAGGTTTCAGAGATGAAAGCAGCCTTTGGGCGCAGAAACCGACCTTGTTCTTGGAATTGATTTTTGGGTTGAAAGGACAAAAAGACAGACAACGCAGAAGCGTGGCCCTAAAAATATCTCCAGACAAACAGAAAGGAAAGTGGCCATGACTTCAAAGGCGTCTTTCTGGTGACACTTCTACTGCAGAGACACACGCAGCATCTTTCACTTCTAATTTACACGATCAAGAACAAACAAGAAGTCAATTTAAAAGAGCTGCCATTTCTCTCGAGCTAATCTTTCCCCCATAACTCATTATTTTCAAGGAAAGTTTCACAAATACATACAGCTGTCCCATTCCAATTATATGTATTTATCACAGAGTCACAGTGTGTAGAACCACACAGCAGTGCAGACAGGAACAATGGTTACAAAAAAAGTGTGCTTCCTTTTCTTTTTTTTCCAGTTTTCAAATGCATGTGTACATGTGTGTATGTAGCATGCCTTTTGCATGCATGTGAATTTATGTGCATAGAGATGTTTAAGACGGATGGCATGAATTGTTCGTGCTTGATCCTCTGCTTATTCACTGAGTCAAGATCCCTCAGACAGACGCAGAGCTGTCAGTATGACTACGCTTTCTGGCAAGCTTGCTTTGGGATCCTCTGCCCCTGCTGCCATGGCTGGAATTACTGGAGGCCACGGTACCCACGTGACATCCCCTTGGATTCTGGGGTATTTTCACCATTTTAATTCATTAACCATTTAACCATAACTAGACTGTTCCCACAGCTCCAAAATGTCGTCTTTGTTTTGTTTTGTTTTTGACACGTGAGGAACTGACAGAGAGTGGTTAACGATTTTACTTGGAAAGAATGATTTGTTTTTCTGTGAATGTAGTATTCATAATTATCTTCAAGTATAAGATGAATGGGATACAGCCATAGGAGCTTTTTCTTAGCTTCGGCTAGGAGTATGTCAAGAGGTAGCTCTCAGAGAAAACACACACAGGGCGGGCCACTCCATCACTCCAGACGATGTTTGTGGCTTCATCTCTCCATCAATTTACCCAGGCTTTGTGTTTGTAACTGTCAACACTCTAGCCTGCTATTGGTACTGACGGAATGAAGAGGATGCTCTCCTGCTTAACTTACCAAGCAGCGGCACTGCCGGCAATCCTGGACCCAGGTGTCCCCACTGTTGTACACGGTCTCTCCGTTTTGATTCAGGCACTGGCTGCTCAGCCTTGGGTCACACTCGGGACAGCAGGAAAGGTCAACTGTAGGGTTCTCACAGTCACAGACCATCCGTCGACACATAACAAACCCAGTCTGAGTTAGAAGGGGGACAAAGTGTTACTGCGCTTCTCCATCTCTCAGAATGCCACAGCTTACAGAGTATGGGACACCAACAACATCTACTCAACTAATAACGTGTCTTTAAAATTCCACTTTGAATCTAACAGAAATGAGCCCAAAGCTGGAAGACTTCTAATTTCCTTTCCATACTACTCCTTAAATCACTTGACCAGAAAGAAAATTTCCAGAAACTAACCAGTACCATGAAGTAGTCCATATGTATATTAAAGTATATGTATGAATATTCATCTATTTGAATATTATGTAGCAATTTGGTTACTATTTTTAATGAAAGCAAGATGAGTTATTATAGTGCTTTGTAGCTAGTTAATCAGTCTCACAATTTGCCAAGTTTTTGGAATAATTATGCATTATGGTTTTTGTACAAATATCAATTTCTTTCATAGTAGTTCTATATATCTTATACATAAGACTATTCATTTAGCTATAATCTAAGTCAGTATCATTAACTGAGTAAACGTTAAAGAACACATGTCTAAATATAACATTTATCCAGACAGATATTTTCCAGTCTTGGATGAAGGCTTACCCATTCTGACTTCATTTATTCTTTCATTCAAATATAATTTCATGATAAGGAAAAATTGACATAGTAATAAAATGTTATTAATTAAGATAAATACACGATGATAAATGGTACAACGGAATATTGTTCAGTAGCAAAAAAGAAAAGATACATGTAATCATGTAAATATGATATATATATGTATATATAAACAAACTCTCTCTAAATATATATAATATAAATAAAAATATAATATTGGGGCAGGAAGAAGCCAGGCACAAGGAAAATGCTCTGTCTGACTCTGTTTATGTGAGGCTCTAGGAAATATGAACTTAATTAAAATGATTGTTTAACTGGAAGCAGTATTGGCCTGGTTCTAGGGGGAGGGGGAAGGGTAGCTAGGAAGGACTTGGACAACATTTGGGGTAATGGAAATGCTCAGCTGTATTCACTGTTTTGGTTAGGTGGTAGCATGCATTTGTCAACACCCGTCGATCCACAGACTCAAACGTAGGGCAGTTCCAGCCCGAACGCAGGACTGTGTCCGCACCAACCTGGCAGGAGCACACAGAGCACCTGTCGTTCTCCAGCACCCAGATCTGGCCATTGTGTTTGACCTTCCCCTCGTGCACACAGTCCCCGGTGCAGTTCTTCCCGTGGGGACACCGGCAATCATATCCGCCGTCCAGGTTGAAGCAAATGGTGTCATTGGCACAGCTGTGCCTCCCCGTTCCACATTCATCAATATCTACAGGAGACAGAAGCAGCACAGCATGACCCGGAATATTTGTCTCCCAAACAGTTATGATCAGACAAGTTGTCTCCCACTTTTACCCAGACATGCTTCCCTTACATGTTGACTATGGCACTGAGTAATCAGAGGAGTTCACAGGAAAACATTATAAAATTTTGATTTTAAGAAAAGATAAGCTTGTCCAGAATATTACCTTTCAGATCTGTGTAAATACCATTAGAATCTGAGAAATATCGATATCTCTGGAAATAGGAACACAGCTCAATTTATTAAATAAAACAGTTTGATAATGGGAATTCTAGCAGTGTTTTGACGTTTTCCTGGGAATATCATCCTTGGCGTCACACTGGCGGTTACAGAACATTCCTTTCTGGTGGGAGAAAAGTCAGGGGACTGCGGCGTGTTATTCCATTTCAAACCCTTTTCCCCAACCACCTCCACACAATGCACTTCCGGCATTTTGTCTGGTTGCTGGTGCTCTTCCCTCAAGGTCTGGGTTTGCCAGCCATGTCCTTGAACCTTCTGCATAGCATGAAAGAAAGAGACAACCCGCAATTGCCATCTTTCTCAAGGACACTATTGCTTCTTAACTTTCTCTTTAGATTAGCTTTGCAAGCCTGGCCTAACTCAATTGACAACTGCCTGTTCTTCACCTAACCTCACCTATTCGGTGGCGGTAGCAGCCTAAAGCATTTTCATACAGATGAAAAGCAAACATATCTTGACCCAGAGATCAGGTCTATAACAAGAGATGGGATTCATTCTATTTATCCCATAATTTAAAGGTCAGAAGCCAAAATACATTTCAGAGAAATTATATGAGTGGCAGTAAGCGGTTATTTTCCTTTTCATCTGCTTCCTCTAAGTAAAGGTCAAGAAAGAAGTCATAGTAAGAGGAGCAGGTTAGAGAGGAGTGGGTTAGGGAGGAGCAGGTTAGAGAGGAGCTGGTTAGGGAGGAGCAGGTTAGAGAGCAGCTGGTTAGGGAGGAGAGGATTAGAGTGGAGCTGGTTAGGGAGGAGCAGGTTAGAGAGGAGTAAGGGTTAGGGAGGAGAAGGTTGGGGAGGAGCAGGTTAGAGAGGAGCTGGTTAGGGAGGAGCAGGTTAGAGAGCAGCTGGTTAGGGAGGAGCAGGTTAGAGAGCAGCTGGTTAGGGAGGAGAGGATTAGAGTGGAGCTGGTTAGGGAGGAGCAGGTTAGAGAGGAGTAAGGGTTAGGGAGGAGAAGGTTGGGGAGGAGCAGGTTAGAAACTGGCAGTTTGTAAGTAGGAAAACTCCGTTATGATTTCTTCTTGAAAAATTTCAAGACAAAATTGAGCACATATTTTTTTTCTGTGTCTTTATTTCAGTTCTACTTGAAGACTTGGGCAGGTCAAGATTCTGTCTTGGCTACATTTAAATTATAAAATTCTGAAAATAATCCACATGGTGTCTTTTCCCTCTATTTACTTCTATTTTGTATTCATATCATCTCCATATAAGTACTATATTGGAATAATGACTGCAAGTATTACAACCATAGTGAGATTTATTCCAGCTCGATTTGTCAAAGGTAGTGCTTGTGGTATGGGCTATAATTAGGAGAAAATCAGCATTCATGTGTACTTTAATAGTTATGTATAATGTACTTATGCATTTTAGATTTGGTAAAATTTTGTCTTTGAAAAGAAAATGAAATTTTACAAATTAGTTCTATCTTTAGCCTTTTCATAATAATAATAATAATAATAGGGTTTACTTAATGTGTTACTCTTTGAGTCTATTTAATATTCTTAGAATTGTGAATTAAAGCATGCAGCAAGGCATCAACCATTGTAGTTTCATCCCTTTGACCATGAACTCCACAGCCACCTCTAACTACATAAAGCCTTTTGACATGCACTGTAATGATGCTATCCACAAGAAGCTAAACATTTACGGTCCACTCTGTCATCCTGCTGGATGTTTAGGTGAACACACCACTGCTAGGTACCACAGTCCTCTCAGGACGGAATGAGCCTGTCCACTTCTGGAAAGACTATGTAATGTCCATGAGTGGGAAGAGTACTTATTCCATGAAAAACATATTTCTAATAAGCCATAGGGTTTAAGCTCCCTCACCACCATGGTTTACATATAGTTCCTCCATCGGTAGAAGGGAGGCAACGCACCTGATAGGTTACCTATAACCTCTCTCTACAAGCGGACTCAAATTATTTTGAACCAGTTGCCTTTTCTATGTGTTATCTAAACTAGATATTATAATTACCTATTCATTTGAGGAACTGAATTTGGAACTCTTTTTACATGTAAGATAGTTGACACTCCATAAAAATTCAAATATTACTAATATTAGTAACTGCTCAGTGAGTGGCTATTACAGAAAGGATGTTCTGAGTCCATGGGTCATGTCAGGTCCTCATCTGACTTAGGAGCAGCGTTTGCCACAGCTCACTCTTGCACGAGTGAGCTCACTTGCTCTTTGGTATGTTCTTGATGCTTAACAAGCACACTGCAAATAGTATTCAGCCATGCAAAAAGGAGCTGAAGTGTTTTAAAGTAATGATATGTCATGTTTGAAAGTGTGTAGTTTAGCGCTATGGGGGAATAGGTGAGTGAATGCAAATGTATCCAGCATAGTATCTACTGTGAAGGCAGAAGAGGCAGACAGACTGCTCAAACACTGAGAAAAGAGAAGGTAAGAAATCTAAACTTCATTACAAAGGCAATCAAATGTTATTTTGAGTAAACATAGATTTTTATTTTAGAAATATTTCTTTGGTCTCATTTTGGAAAATGGCTTTGAGTGGATTAGAGTTTGAAGCTAAGAGATCACTGAGTTGGCTGGTTTAGGAAACCAGGCAAGGAATGAAGACAGTCTAAGCTGACTTGTGGGACAGTCTCTCTGTGTGAGCTCCTGAATTCCTTCCACGGGACAGCACATTTGGTACTTAGACCACTGGCTGTAGCTGCAAGGCAGCCCTAAGTTTACAAATCAGGAGAGTGAGGCCTGAAATGTTGCAAAACTTTCCTGAGGTCCTGGTCAAGAAGCTACAGGTGAGGATAGCTGCAAAAGATTTGTGTGATGCAGCTTTTCAACGCACACATGATCGCCATAACCATAGGCTAAAAAGTAATGAAACAGACCGGCTATATACTCACGTCTCCAAGTGTGAAGCCCACACTTAAGAGCGTTGAGAATGCACTGCGTGGCTTCTCCAGTCTCAAACGCATTTCTTTCCAAGCAACATGAAAATGGCTCCTTCACTGATGTAACTCTACTCTGACAACGGAACCTTTCTAAACGATAAGATCACAATCCGGCAAACCATTCCAATGGCAAGAAATGGGCAGCTGTATAAGACTTCTGGTCTATTTCTTAAACCACATCGGTTGGTTCCTTTAAATCAGTCCTCTAGAGAGGGCTGCCTTCTGACAGAATTGTACAATTTTCTAATAAAAGTGACAGATTTTTATTGGTGGATAATAGAAGAATAAGCTTCCAGAATAGTATTTTTAAAATAAAACATCTGTGTTTGTGGGGTTGCCTCCCAAAGCGTTTCTGTGTATCTGAGAGAACCTTATACCTTGATGTCTTCTGTTTATCATGCTTTCATTTAATGTGTGATTGCCTTTTTACTTTCTGAAATCAAGAGGGTACTAGTTATTTTGTTCGAACACTATATATGTTTAATATACTGGGTGAACAATGGTCCATCACAGCAGGGAACTCATGGCCACAGGTATTTGAGGGAGTTGGGCACGCTGCATCGGCAGTCAAGAAGCAGAGAACAATGAATCTGTGTATTAGCTCCCTTTCTTTCTTTTTTCATAAAGTCCAAGATCCTGGTTCATGAAACTGATGCTATCCATAGCACATAGCTCCTTCTTCCTCATTTAATTTCATCAAGATAGTCTTCTACAGACATTTTCAGAGGCCCATGGTCCAGGTAATTCTAAGTTATATCAAGCTGACAACACAGCAATCACACCACCCACCTACCTACTTTCCATCTCAATCACTTGTACTAGGCAAATCAAAATATCATCCATTATGTGCCCAACATTGTTCCAGGACTGGAGATCTAGCAGCTGTCAAGCAAACAAAACGTATGAGCTCACATTCTAAAATATATAGTCGGCAAACAAACAAAGGAGCATATAATGAGACTCTGAGAAAATTTATTACTTCTCTGAAGGCAACTGGAGCAGGGTGAATGAAGAGCGTCGAAGGCCATTTCAAGTGGAAAGTTCAGGAGAAACCTTTGCAAGGATATCTGGATTTAAGTAAAAGCCTGGGGGTGAAGTAGGGAGGGACATTTCGTGCAAAGAGAAGACCTCTTGAAAAGGAATCCACCTGGTATGCTTTTTAAAATGGCAAGAAAGCCACGAACATATGTCACGTAGGCCCTTATCAACATGGGCAGAGTCTGGGTTTTACTCAAAGAGACAGAGTCTCCTGAAGTGTACACAGAAGGGAACGGATCGCAGGCGGACAGGGGTGGAAGTAGGGAGGCTTAGTCTGAAGACTACAGTCAGAGTCCAGGTCACAGAGAGCTAGTCTGATTATTTCTAACTCTGCACATGTGTTTGGGCAGAGGATGTGCATGTGAGTGCATGCGTGTATGGAGAACAGAGGCATTCAATCCTCCAGCACTGAAGTTAAACAGGCGGTTAGGAGCTGCCAGACATGGGCGTTCTGCAAGCGCAAAAAGGGCTCCTAACCACTGAGCCATCTTTAGAGCTTTTTCTGAATGATCTTTACAAAGTTAACTTAAATACGGCATTATGGAATACAAACAGAGTATTGTATGGGAGGTGAGAAAAATCACAGCTTCATCTGTCTCTAGACAGTAATCCATGGCTCTTGATTTGGCCCAGGCTAGAAATATCCACTGCCGGGCAATTCCAGCTGCAAAGTTAAGCCCTGGGACTACATTAAGAGATTATTAGCTAACACTCGGTTTCAGTCCTGGGTAAAACAACAGCATTTCCACCCCTGTGTAAAAGCCGGATGTGTTTTTTCTGCTGCTATGTGAAATGTGCGTGTGTTCTCTGCTGCAGTCTAGAGATCCTTCTGCTGCGGCTGGCACTGTTCTGGAAGCCTGGGCCCATCAATGAGTCTGTCTTACTTTTCTTGCATCAACCTTCTGTTTACCAAGGATGGCAGATATCTTAATACCTAGGCATCAGGCACCTCTGCCAGGTTCTTGAAGGATTGCACTGTGAATCCCAGACCCATTTTCTCACACACGATTACCCTATGAAGGTTTGGATACAAGTGAAAAAACAGCAGTTCTACAATTTTGCTTTGGTTTTTCTTCCTGCGCCATGAATTCTGATGGCAAACTCAGTGTTCCTGTTTCTCTGACACTCTGCTGGCTCTGCCTGGTTCATAAAGCCGCCTCTCAGAAGAGGGAATAGAGCAGAGCTCTTTGTCAGTCCACTGAAAATAACTCAAGACTAATGGCTAATTGCTGAATGCAATCAGATTGCATTTCCAGTCCTATAAACTCACACACACCTTCGAATAGGGCTTGGATCTCTGGTGTCCATCATTCAGTCTGACTCTGCCAGGCAATCCTGCTGCGGGAACAGCCCAGCCCAGCCCAGCATTCATGGCTTTTCACCCTGCTGCCCCATTCTTCTGGAACAGCCCAGCCCAGCACATGTGGCTTTTCACCCCAGCTGCCCATTCTCATGTTTTATTTAGCCCTGGTTCCTTACTTTTTTGTTCACCTCATTGAATTTTTCTACCTGTTTTGGGGCCAGGATCTTAAAATACTTTCATTTTAAAAAGTTTATGTAATAAAATAGATTTTTCATTTTAAAACATCTTTTAATCCTGGCTAGTATTTAAAAAGGGTGTTTATGGCCACAAATTTTATATATAATATAGTAATATAATTATGAGGCAAAAAGTTGTTAACACACTTGTGGTCACTGTTGACAAATAGCAGAAATAGCTGGCGGTTGGGGATTAACTCTATGTCTATTGGTTACATCTTACTTTGTGTTCACCAACTTAAAGGAGTCTTAGCCTCTATGTCTTCTTTACTGACCTTCACACGATTCTCCACCTGGTGCAAACATCCCATTGTCATGGTAGCCATCTCTGCACTCACAGTGGTACCATCCAGGCAGGTTAATGCAGTTGGCACGGCTGTCACACTGAACAAAGCCATCAGAGCACTCATCGATGTCTGTTTGACAAAGGAAACAAAAGCAGGATTTTATGCAGTTGTTTTATTCTCTTAAAGAATCTAGAACATTCTGCTGTAAGGCTACTATCACCCTTACTGTCGGCAAACCTTGAAACTGAGAAAATATAAAATCAATATAGTTCCTTGGTAGTCACAAGCTGTGAATAAAAAATGTAACGGTTTTTATTAGTAACCGGAGAAACATCTAGAAGTCTTCTTCTCCATTCCAAATGATCCCACTGCAAAGTGGAAATCATGTGCTCAGTGGTGGTCTGTGATTTTCATCAGCTATTCCCAGCTCAGGTTGGCACAGTCGGGGATTGCAGGTTTCCAGTCCCCTTAGGTAAAGCATGGGCATGGGACTTTCTTCAGTTACATCTGTTACCTGGGCAGGGCTGTTGATACGTAGCACTTCCAGGTAGAGCCTTGAGGGAGCTGTGTGCGGCTCACATGTTCCCTTCTACATCATAACAACTAGCAATTTCCAGAAGCTCCCAAGACTAACCCAAGTCCATGATGGAGAAAGCCAGGGTGCATCCCATACTACCGGAGATGAGCAGACTGTATCAGCAAGAAACTATTTTGTGTTGCTTTAAGTCACTGGGACTTTAGGATTGTATTATTATTGCTACTATCAGTATAAGCTATCCTGACTAAATACACAACTCATCTTCAATAGATATGACAAGAGCATTCATGCGTGTGTTTTCAAGAATCTATGGCATCTGTGCACTTATACCACTCCAAACCACACACACATACACACAAATCATGTTGATGTATGAATAATATGTAGAACACATGAAAATACTGAAGCCAATGTAAGTTACAGAATTTAGCTAATGTCAGGACAGTTCACAATTGCCTGGCATTCATGTGTGTTCATTCACACAAGGAGACTTGGGCAGAAATTGACAAAAATGTAGCTTGGGTCTCAGATTTCTATCAGAAGTATACTATCATTCCCCAACACTGTGAGCCATTTTCTGTTAAGGCTGATGAATGATAAAAAAATTTCCCATAATACTCTGTTCTCCTCGTTTGCTTGTGGGAGAGAAAAGTGATCCTTGGGATTGCCTTACCAAATATTTTTATTTCCTCACTATCTCCTGATTTTCTGGGCCCACTGGCTTAACTGAGATCTTGCTAAATAATCTGATCCAATAGCACTGTACCACTGTGGCTGCCTAAAAGGTCCAACTATACTTACTACTTGCATCTCGATAGCCTCATGCCATAATGGACGATCCTACTTAATGAGGCAGGCAATCTTCCCATGTTTGTCCCAGGCGCATGGCTCAGGGTTGTGGTAGCATGTGATCAAGCATAAGGATGCTCTGCTGTGGAAGGGAGCCCGAGCGATCTCTGAGTCCTTCCTCCCCGTTGGCTTTGGCTGGTAGAATGTATTTCTATCTCAGTCTCAGTGATGCCAAACTCACAAATGCGTGTGTTAGCTTTGTTACTTTAGTTTTTGGCAGTGAAACTCAAACCCAAGGCCTTTAGCATCCTAGGCAATGGCTCTGCCACCAGGCTGCACCCTCAGTTCTTCTGTTGTTTTCTGTTTACATATCCTCTTTTCTTGTGCTCATATTTAAAATTTATTTATTTATTTATTTGGATTGTGCCTTGTAGCCCAGACTGGCTGGGACCATGTGACATAGTCCGGGCTGACCTTAAACTGGAGATCTGCTTGCCTCTGCCTGTGGAATGCTGGGAGTCAGTAGGACAGCACCATGTCTGGCTCTGCCAGTCAGGTTTGAAGGGGATAAAGCTGGGAATACATGCATAAATAGCTTTTAACAACGAAAGAATTAAGCTCTAATTCATTTGCTCCTTGGCAAGAGCTCCTTCAGTGAAACGAAATGTAAAACATACTCTCAGATTAATAAGCCATGGGCCAACAGAAGGCATCTCATACCATTGTAACATTTTAGCATTGTTTCAGGATTAGAAAGCATTCATCTCAGCAGTTCCTTTACCCACGAATCAGTAATTCCTACCAGCAAAAATCAGGGTGATTCCAAAAAAAAAAAAAAGATGAACATGGGATGTACTCACTCATAATTGGTTTCTAGCTATAAATAAAGGACATTGAGCATATAATTTGTGATCCTAGAGAAGCTAAATAAGAAGGTGAACCCAAAGAAAAACATATAGTTATCCGCCTGGATATCAGAAGTAGACAAGATTACAGGGCAAAACCTGGGAACTTGGGGAATGAGGTGGCATGGGGCTAAGGAGAAATGGGGTGAGGAACGTGAGAAGGGGAGAATGGGGGGAGCTTGGGGGAATGGGATGTTTGGGATAAAGGAAGGGTGGACACGGGAGCAGAGAAATATATAGCCTAATTAAGGGAGCCATCTTAGGGTTGGCAAGAGACTGGACTCTAGAGGGGCTCGCAGGTGTCCAGGGAGATGTCCCCAGCTAGTACCTTGAGCAACTGAGGAGAGGGAACCTGAAATGACCCTATCCTATAGCCATACTGATGAATATCTTGCATATCACCTTAGAACCTTCATCTGGTGATGGATCGAGATAGAGACAGAGAACCAAATTGGAGCACCGGACTGAGCTCTTAAGATCCAAATGAGGAGCAGAAGGAGGGAGAACATGAGCAAGGAAGTCAGGAACACGAGGGGTACACTCACCCACTGTGACAGTGGGGCTGATCTATTGGGAGCTCACCAAGGCCAGCGGGACTGGGACTGAATAAGCATGGGATGAAACCGGATTTTCTGAACATGGCGGACAATGAAGGCTGATGAGAAGCCAAGGACAATGGCACTAGGTTTGGATCCTAATACATGAACTGGCTTTGTGGCAGCCTAGCCTGTTTGGATGCTCACCTTCCTGGTCCTGGATAGAAGTGGGAGGACCTTGGACTTCCTGCAGGGCAGGGAATCAGGACTGCTCTTCATTCTCGAGAGGGAGGGGGAATGGAGTAGGGGAGAGGAGGGAGGGGTAGGGGGAGGGAGTGGGGGGGAGGGGGCGATGTGTGCGAGGAGGGCCAGGGAAATGAGAAATTTTTTTTTTGCAACAACTAAAAAAAAATAAAATAATAAAAAAAAATCAAGGTGATGGCCAAATCAGCTAACTATTGCCTTCCTGCCATGCATCCACCTAGGCCTGCAGGTTCTAGAAAAAACCTCTTTGTAATGCAGGGCCCCTCCAGCTGAGGAACTTCTGATTACAAAGGAGTCTGCGCTGCTTTTGCTTCAGCATTGACTGGTCTTTTCCTGTAACAGAACCTATGTGGAAAATTATGCCATCTCTTAAGTGTACAGACGAAGAAAACAATCTAACAATTAAGCTTTAGAAGTGATGTTCGTTTGAGGAATGCCAAGGGGAGATGTTCAGAGTCCCTCGGGGCAAACTGAGCTCTTAGAGATGGCCGTTGTCAAGACCATGGATAAGATGGAGGTTCTGTGGCTGCGGCCTGTGCAGTCTTCTACCGCCCTTTCTTCCTGACTCACAATGGCTGTGAAAACTGCTCACCCCACGAGATGGGTATTTATAAAAGATGCCTTTCCCCGCATCACTCCTTCACCAGTTGCCCAGCCCACTCCTAAGCACAGCCACCCCACTTCCTTCATTTACATCACAGCACCCAGCACATCCCCTTCATCATGGGCACACCCTTCCAGTCTTTGGCAGTTAATAGAAATGCTATTGATTGTATTTTTTCCCACTCTGAATGCTGAGGAAATGAGCATAGGCTGCTGTGGCATATTGTCACATACACTTTGAGCATTATTTTCCTCTTAACTCATTATTATATAGCTCTTTAGGGAATTATATAATACAACCTGTTCATTGATTCAGTTTAATGTTAATTACTTAATACCTGCTATGTGCCAGCAACTAAGTGCTGGAGAAAAGAAATGGACATATAAATATGTGTGACTCCTGCCCTTACTGAGCTATCATCTATGAAAATTACATTCTAGAAAATCAAATTTATGAAAATCTGAATTTACAGCCATATAGAGCAGAGTTTCCCAGAATGTGGTCTATCTGTCAACATCAATGTGCTTTATAGGTAGCCGTACACAAATACTTCATTTTAATGGCTATGCACTTATTTCCTCAATTATTTCCATTTACAGCAAGGCATTATAAGAAAAACAGAGGTGAAATAGAATTTAAATCTAAAAAAATGGGAGGAATTATAGAAGCAGATTCAGGTAAATACTGATACATATGTTCTAGAAACATGAAAAATTAAAAAGGTTGAAAGTATCAGTACTGAAGAGAAGCTCCTCACATTTCAAGGAAGATTTGTGTGATAATTTCTTATGTAATGAAGTACCTGCTTCAACTAAAATATGACTCAATTTATAAAATCTACATGCCATGGCTCACCTTAGGAGCTTGCCGCCATTTACAATACGGAAGGAAAACTAGCTAAACAGTACAAATGACTTCACTTTATAATTTTACTACACTGCTTATAAAAATAATAGGTACTTGCTATATACAGTACTTTGCAATAGTTTTTCATTAGGGAATAGTGAAACGCATCCAATTGTCAAATGCCCATATATGTCAAATAGTCATTTTGTGGTGAGAAGTGAGTGTTATGCTCTCAGCATTTCCAAGAATACAAAATACTGTCAGTAATTTGAGTACCCTATTCAAGGTCAAGGTGCAATGGTAGGCATTCACCCTTTTATGGATAAATGGTTTTCCATTGTGCAAATGTGCATACATGCATTTTATCCATTCATTCGTGGATGAATTTTTATATTATTACTTTTTATACTATATGCAGCAAACAAGGGGCTCTAGGAGCCTTTTCTACATATGGCTTTCATTTCCTGTAGCTATACCAACAAGTTCAATTGATGGGCCATATTGATCCACTTTGAACTTTCTGAGGAACCTACATCCTGTTTAGCACAATGGCAGTGGTGCAATTCTACCAATGGTGTAAAAGAGCTGTCTTTCTTCCACACCTCCATCTTTTGTCTCTGACACCAGCCATCCTGGCAAGAGTGAGG